AAAAAAAAAGAAAAAAATTAGTGTTTACTCACATAAAATAATAAGTAAACATTCGCATAAAATTTAAAAAAAAAAACAGAAATAGACGATATCAAAAAAACCGAGCAAGAGTATCATACTTTCCTTAATTTTTTCCAACAATCTCATATTTTTCTTAATTTTCTTCATTTTTTTCTTTTTTATTTTTCTTTGTTCTTTTTACTTTGTAACGTATTTGGAGTTTTAAAACTTCAAACTAAATCTCAATTTAATGGTGTTATAAATTTTGTTAATTCTAAGGCTTAATTTGATAATTTTATAACATTTAAGTCCCGAATTGAGAAAAAAAAAATCTTTTAAGCCCCGATTTGATTGTTTACTTATTTTTCATGCCTTGTATTAAAAAAACTCCAAAAAAATATTTACAATTTTCTTTTGTAGCGAATAACTTGCAAAAACTCATGTTTTATAAAAGTGTATAATATGATGAAATGGAGAAAATCCCAAATAAATAAATAAATAAATAAATAATTATGAACCTTATGTTAAAAAACTCCTGATTTTTATCTATTCAAATCAAATGTGTGCTGCTTGCAACCATAATCACCAAAATGCTCTGAGCTATCAATCACCATATCTCCACACAAGCAGCAAAATTGTCTATGGCATGCCCAACACCGCAGGTTATTATCATCTCCCACCTATCGGTTTTCACAACCAAAAAAACACACGAGAAACAAAAAAACTCGAGTCCTGTTTTAAGGAATCACAATGTAAAAAAAAAAAAGAAAAATACAGTAAGAAAAGACATAGCCATACCTTGATATTAAGCTGACCACAATTAGAATTAGGACAATAACGAGCACGTTCAGGATACTTAGCGGCCATTTGTGCAGCCGCCATTTGATCTCCAGCCACTATCTTCAACCCCTCATCTTGGTAAAGTTTACATTGCCCACCCCATTCCCTATATAACAGTTATAAAAAAAAAAAAAAAAGAAGATCATCGATATATATTGTCGAAAATTTGAGGCTTTTTTCCCTTTCTGTGAGTTGATTGCGAACCTGAAATGTTCGTAACCCTCTATGACCGTAGCGCAACAGTAGCAGAAATATTTCCCACAATAATCGCAAACCATCTTATTGCAACCTTCACTTCGAGCTATAGCTATCTTACAATTAGGACATTGTTTCGCATAACTGTAGATTGCCTTGAGGGTAAGCATCTCGTTGAGTATGTTCTGCTCTATCTGCCTTTGGTTCGGATCCATCGAATTTGTTCTTCTGCGCTCCTGTCAAAATCTCGTAAAAATGTTTATTTAGAATACATCAACTTGTATCATTTACATTTTTATTTTCATACCCAGTTATAATCATAAAAGAATCCCATAATTCTTTCACAAATTTTTCCACTCTTTTCGTCACAATTCTGTCTTCTAAGAGAACAAATCTGTTTACAAACTGTCCATAACCAATTACAGCGTAAACAATTTAAGAAAAACCAACCGGTAGATAACTCCGGAAAAGAAGAAAAAAAAAAAACAAGAAACTAAAATTACAAATATCCTAAAACATGATTTATAACAGAATGAAACATGGACCCTGAAAATAAAACAAAAGGAAAACTAATACGAAATCTGAAATAAAATATCAAAACGAAGATCGGAATATTTACCTCGAGCATCTTTAACTTCAATTCAGGTGTCGTGCATGCTTCCCCAACATGTCGTTTATCCATGCAGAGTGTACAGAAGCTGTAATAACACTTTGAGCATACTGCATGCTCATCCTTATCCTTCACACAGGCCATTTCACATCTCGGGCAGTACACGACATCTTTCATGGAATCGAGTGCTTTTCGTAACACCAAAGATTCCCATCGATCAAATTCCTTTTCGCCCAGTAGCCTTTTAATCAAAGAGGGATGCATCGTGCCATCACATTTAGCTTCCGGGCATTTTATCTTGAATACTGTTCCATCTCCCACATGAATGTTGGTGAAAGTCTTCAAGCATTTCTCGCAAAAGAAATGCTGACAGGGCAGCATAATGAACTCCGAACCTAATAAAGTACAAACGAGAATAATTTCTAATCAAATGAAAAAAAAAATGACTAGTTTCTAACTTGTTAAGATTCATCAAGTAGACTTAATTACCAGCAAATTCGCTGAGACAAATGCTGCATTCTTGAACATCTCTGCAAAAATTCTCGTACTTCTGTTCATCATTGTATCTCTTAAGAGTAGGAATATCAGCATCAGACGAAAAACTTCCCGAAATAGCCCTCCGCTCTTCTTTTCCACAATAACTATCATGTCTTACACCATAGGGTCCAAGAAGTAACTCACTATCAAAACCAAGATATGAGAGGGTACAATTACGCAACCACTCGACCCATTGGTATGTCACTTCCTGCCCGGCATTTTCGGCCCAAATCAAATCGAGCATGCTGCAAAGACGAGAGATTTTACTATGACTTAACCACTGGACATATATCGTGAAGTGAGGGGCACACTTGCTTGGATATGACTTAGGTAACAAACAACTCAATAAGATTGGTGGGAGATATTCCACTTGAAATGAGTACGATATATCAGAAACATCTTCATTACTCTTTTCAGAAAAACCGAAAGACTCAAACTTTGTCGTTATGCTGAGTTCTTGGGGCACTTGAACTTGAATATGAACCTGTTAATAATGTAATCAATATGTTAAAAAGTTTGTTCCTGGAGAAGGAAAAGCGAACTCTGGAATTGCTCAACTACCTGGAAACACTTCAAGCTACTTTCGTTTTCGAGAATGAGGATTTTTTCTCCATAAATAGATTCCATAGCTAAAAGCTGCAATAAAATGGGAGACGGTTAAGAGGCCAAAAGGGAGAAAACACAGTTGACTGCGTTCCAATCTAATCTTACAACAAATTTGAGAACAACTTAAACAGAGAAGCAAAAATATAATTCTTTTTCTGAACCATGTTCTTCGTCAAGCCAATGCATATGCTATAGTTCAGACACACAAACACACACACACACACATGCACTATCTTGTTTTACGTTTTGCAAATTTGAATGCAATAGTTATCAAAATACTTCCAGACCAGTCTGTTTCCTCTTGCATAATCTCCCCTAAACTTCTTAATTCTTATACTAAAGTATATGCCATAAGGGAACTTGCACTAGACATACTTAAGAGGTAATTTACACCAACAGATCAAGAATTGTGATCTCAACTGAAAGACTACTCCATGTGGCTTAGTTCGTAAATGAGACACATGCCAAGGCAAAGCAAGCTACAATTAATAGTGCTTAGATTTATTTGGAACTAGAATTCACTCAAATGTCAATCCATCATCATGATCACAAGTTTTGATTCCGACAAACAGCAAAGAACCCACCATCAAATAACATCTGAATAGAGCTGAACCAACATGGAAATTAGGCAGGCAACCAAAGTACGACCAAGTAATAGCGAACAGGGAAAAGAAACAGATCATAGAGTATCACCGGACAACACCAAACAATTAGAAAGGATAAACAGATAAAAAGAGAACTCAAAACTGATTTTTTTTTTCTTCTTTCTAGAAGCACTACGATTATTAATCACTAATAACACCTCATCTTCCTGCAACAGTCGATTGACGGCCAGCAATTGCTCCTCCAACTCGGGCTCAACATTAAAGCTCATCTCTTTTAATCTACTGAGAGCATCATCTTCATTACCCGAACCCGATTCTTCAGTTGCTTCGCAGCCCTCAGTTTCGCCATTATCCGGACCAACATTCATACCCACACCCGACCCACCAACAGATCTCGAATCTTCTCCATTCACATAACAAGAACCCGAATCAAGATTCAAACTTGAGCTCGAACACTCCACATTCTCACCTTCTTCTTTTTTCCTAGACCTGCCCGCGAGGCGAGATTTTCCCCCACCGCGATTCTTTGGGGCCCACCTCGAATCCCTTCCAAATAGAGCGCGCCTCTGGTTGTTTTGGGGCGAACTTGAGGAGGGCTCGGAGGTGGATGGGGATGGAGGGGTTACGTGGGCCGTCTGGGTATTATGAGGAGCGGTGTTGTGGTATCTTCTGAGGCGGCCGCCTTGGCCGGAGGAAGACATCACGGCGGAGCTCGAGGGTTTTTTTTTTTTTTTTTTTTTTGAATTTTTGTGTCAAAACAGAGCAGAGGTCGACAGGAATTTCATGATGGGTCTGTGAGGTAAAAGAAAAATCGGTGGACTCTTATATACAGTTGTAGCCTATGAAACCAGAAATCGAAGTCGGTTAGGTTTTGTTGGGGGATTTTGCATTCAAACCTTTTTCGCGGGTTTGATCCAAGGTTTTGTATTGGTCGTTTTTTGTCACGTATTTATGTAAACTCCCAAATAGAACCTTAGGTTAGCGGGATTATTATACACGTTTATTCAATCATAAAAAAAAAGGAAATTAAGTACCTATAAATTCCTAAATATTCTAATTAAAAGGGTTGGTTTTAACTATCCACAAGAAATCTCACGTGTGTATATTAATATAGAATGTGTTACAAAAAATACTAAAAATTATATAGAATCACACGTGTATATATTTTGTAAAACATTAATACACGAGATTTATTTTAAATTTATTAACATAATTCAAATTAGTTATATTAATAATTAATACTAATATACATTAAATATTTTTCATTGCATAAAAAAATACTAATTTTAAAACATCTGTAAACAATCATAATAACATTGTATGACAACAAACTTTGTAATAAAATAAATAATTGAGTATGATAACAAGAATGAACAAAACTGCTATCTTTGCTTATGTCAAAAAATAGGGTGATTTACATATTTATTAATAATAAAATAATAAGTG